CCAGATGAAACTGAAATAATTTGTGGGAGAAATAGCTGAATAAGAAATCACGAGAATGTCTGCAAACGTTAACATAACGACGAATGGAACACAGCCATCCAGCTGCTTCAATCCTACAGCAGAAAAAATCGGAGAAACCATTGCTTGCTGTCTGATCCTGATCGTTTCGCTGGCGGGAAATTCCTTCATCGGAATAATTGTCTAAAAGACGAAAACCATGAGAAAACCCACCAACTTTTTAATAGCAAACATGGCCATCTCCGATCTGCTGTTTCCAGTTTTCGTAATCCCGCGGATTCTAACAGAGTTGTACGTCGACTCTTCACCGTGGTTGATCAGTGGTCCTCTTGGCGAGGCCTTATGTAAGCTGCTGCATCCCTACTTGGCTGGCATATGTCTCCGGTGCTGTGTCTGTTCAGAGTCTGGTTCTGATAGCAGTGGATCGATTTGGAGCCGTGATATTTCCCCTCCGTTCCCCACTCATCAGTTCGAAGCTCTGCCCCTTCTTCATTCTCGCCACTTGGATCGCCGCGCTGGCTGTCTTTTCCCCATGTCTCTTCGCCAACAAACTGGTGGAATATCCAGGGGGGCTGGTGTGTGCGCCACAGTGGAATGAAGTCTTTGGAGAGTCCTCGTCCTATGAAAATTACCTGATAACAATGCATGTCATATTCTATTATACCCCATTGGTGTTGATAGCCATATTGTACATCATCATCACTGTAAAGCTCAAGTCACAGAAGACTCCAGGCGAGCAATCGGTCAACGCTGAACAACAACGAGCGAAAAGTGAACGAAATGTGCTGAAGATGTCCATTGCCATCGTGTTAGGATTTGCAGTATGCTGGCTTCCCTACAGTATCTGCAGGATTCTGATCTCTGTTGGATCGGACACTATGATCATGTCTTGTGGCTTCAACTACTTCATCACTGTTTCCAATTATATGGCTTTCGCAAATTGTGCCATAAACCCTTGCATCTGTTTTATTTTCAGTGGAAATTATCGTCACGGTCTTAAGAATCTCCTTCGCTGCTTTAGTGCAGTGCAGTCTCGAAATCAAGCCAAACCGTAGTATTCCTTTTCAAGGAGTGGTTCAGTTGTAGCAATCAACTAAAAACTAGCCGGTGATTAACTAGCCAGTATTTTTGGCTAAACAAGCGTTTCCTCTAAAAGAAATAAAAAAATCATCATGATTCGTGAATGATATTTTTAAGAAAATCGAACCTAAAGCGCGGAATATGATTATGTACAAAAGAATCACAACGAAAATTAGAAGGCGGTAGAGGGAAAACCTTGTTGGTGTTTCCTTTTCGATTAAGCAAGTTAAGGATAATGTTCGACTTATTGTCTCTTATTTATCAAACGACTTCAATGAAAAAAGAAAAGGATTATAATAACAAATTTAAGTTTTTCACCATTTGAACCTTAAGTTATATGGCCTATTAAAACTCCAACGAGTCTCCTGTAGCTCAGTGGTAGAGCATCCGACCGGTGTGCAGAAGAACATAGGTTCGACTCCAGTTGGGAGAAGTCGGAAATTATTTTTCCGAATATATAGCTTGTGTCACTGACTGTATAATATCTTTCTCGATAAATTTTACCGGCGTTAACAGCTTTACATTAAAAACAGCAAGATTAAGTACGATCTTTTTGTTGTTAAGTGAAGATTACTTATGTAAGTCGACCAATAACTTGTAAATACATTTATTTAAAAACTGTTTTGTAAAACGTGTCACTACTGTTTTATTTAATTCAATGTACATTTGAGAGCTTTGCAGAATGGTTTTAACCGTTCTTTACACTCTAGCATTACAATAATAATAATATTACAATCATATCTGTAGTTATTTTAAAAACACCAGTTGTAATTGTCTTAAATTAGGAAACAATAAAATGTACAAAAAAATATGTTTGCTACAGCCGTTCTTTTAAGTTTTTCTCTTTATATAAATCTCGTTCCTTTTCCCCATCCCATCCTGCACTTTCTCGCTTTATTTTCCACACTTTTCTCCATGGTTGACTCAGCAGTATTCATAAGCCACAGGTGCAAACTTTATATCAAAACAAACTGCAATGTTTATTAACCAAAGTCAGTCAGAACCTGATTCTCAAGACATTCGGCCTTGCCAGTCATTAGGTATCGGTTTATATACTAGAAGTCTCTTTCTTGAAAGACTGACTTGGATCTATACCAGAGAAAACTTCACGAATCTTCCCGGTATTTACATGATCTCAAAATACATTTGTGTGCCAACCGTTAATTAAACACTCCTAGAACATATTACTGAGTGGGAAGCCTGCACAGGAAGCTTCTGTCAATCATTTGCACGATGTTATCACATGCGGTGCACGGATGTTTTCCCTCAGACACGTACTTTCACTGCGATATTGCAACCTCGTCCCTAGAAAAGCGCCCTGGGGACGAGGTTGTGCGATATTGTTAAGTCCGAGTGCTGAAGGAAGAAATCACCATTCTTCAAGGTGTAGGGAACAAACTTTACCTACCGACCCCGCAACATTGCTTGTCATTCAGCGCGCTAAATTATCCTCTTTTCGTTTTTCCTCCTACGTTCTCTAGGAAGAAACTAATTGGTAATAAAACGTTTTTTCGGAAATAAAAAAAAGAAACCTTCTCCCGTTTCATACTGTAGTGTAAGGTTCACGAAAGATTGTAGTTGATAAGCTAAGGCCATACGGGATCCAGGAATTTATTCAACAGACACAAGAGAAAATAAGGTATTAGTTTTAAAACCGCCCTGTTGTTCGTTATTGTTTATTACAAGTTATAGCTAGTGAAATAAATTACAGATGGTAACACGAGGTTTCGAAGCTATACTGACACTTAATATCAGTAGTAATAAGCTAAACTGCCACTTCTTGCGGGTAATAATAAACTGTGGTCGGTCGCTTTGTTTGTCTTCCAACATCTCAAAAGTTATATTTACAAACGGCTCAGGCCAAAATGAGAATGTTTTGAGAAAAATTACAGCAGGAACAATAATTGCAACCCTCTTAGTTTTGCGATTAGAAAGAATTCACAAATATTAATCGACGCGACAAATATTTTGACATGCAACAAATCTAGTGTGAAATAAAAGCACTAGGGTTAAGGAAATTCTCCCATATCCCGAAAACAAAGTACAGTACAGTGAATTAATAATACTGCATGATCTCGCCAAAATTGAAGTTAAACTGCCACTTTTAACTGTTTAATAGTAGTATAATAAACTGTGGTCGGTTGCTTTGTCTGTCTTGTTTGACATCTCAAAAGTTATATTTACAAACTTTTAATTTAATTAACAATATGTGGGCTCAGGCCAAAATGAGAATATTTTGAGAAAAATTACGGCAGAGTGACATTTGTAAAGGGATGCAATTACAACATTTATTGAGGCTTCTAGAATCGCGCTATCATGTCTTAAATTATATTATTGCGTACGCATGGTGAATAAATTCAAGCCAAAAGATTATTCCGCTTCGAGTCAATAGAACATAAATAGACCCGCGGGTACTTCGTCTTAACACTGAAACCCGGCACTGAAACCAGATGAACAATAATTTGTGGGAGAAATAGCTGGATAAGAAACCACCAAAATTTCGGCAAACTTATCTATGAACATAACGATGAATGGAACAGAGTCATCCAGCTGCAGCTACAATCCTACAGCAGAAAACATTGGATACACCTTTGCTTTCTGTCTGATCCTTATTGTTTCGCTGGCGGGAAATTCCTTCATCGGAATAATTGTCTACAAGACGAAAACCATGAGAAAACCCACCAACTTTTTAATAGCAAACATGGCCATGTCCGATCTGCTGTTTCCAGTTTTCGTAATCCCGCGGATTCTAACAGAGTTGTACGTCGACTCCTCACCGTGGTTGATCAGTGGTCCTCTTGGCGAGGCCTTATGTAAGCTGCTGGACCGCTACCTAACGTTCGTCTCCATTGCTGTGTCTATTCAGAGTCTGGTGCTGATAGCAGTGGATCGATTTGGAGCCGTGGTATATCCCCTCCGTTCCCCACTCATCAGTTCAAAGCTGTGCACCTTCTTCATTCTCGCCACTTGGATCGTCGCGCTGGCTTTTTTTCCCCATATCTCTTCGCCACCAAACTGGTTGAATATCCAGAAGGGCTGGTGTGTGCGTGGCAGTGGAATGAAGTCTTTGGAGTGTCCTCGTCCTACCTGATAGCAATAAATGTCATATTCTATTATACCCCATTGGTGTTGATAGCCATATTGTACATCATCATCACCGTAAAGCTCAAGTCACAGAAGACTCCAGGCGAGCAATCGGTCAACGCTGAACAACAACGAGCGAAAAGTGAACGAAATGTGCTGAAGATGTCCATTGCCATCGTGTTAGGATTTGCAGTATGCTGGCTTCCCTACAGTATCAGGCAGTGGTGGATTCTGATGTTTGTTGGATCGGACATTACCATGTCTTGTGGCTTCCAATACTTCATCATTGTTTTCCTTTTTATGATTCGTGCCAATTGTGCCATAAACCCTTGCATCTGTTTTATTTTCAGTGGGAATTATCGTCAAGGTCTTAAGAATCTCCTTCGCTGCTTTGGAGCAGTGCAGTCTCGTAATCAAGTCAAACCGTAGTATTTCTTTTCAAGAAGTGGTTCATTAAAGCAATCAACTAACATTTAGCCGGTTATTAACTAATATTAGTAGTATTTGATGGCTAAACACATACAAGCGTTGCCTCTAAACGGCCCAAAAATCCAATTCGTGGATGATATTTTTAAGAAGATCGAATCTAAAGCGCGGAATATGATTATGTACAAAAGGATCACAACGTAAACGAGAAGGCGGTAGCGAGAAATCCTTTTTTGTGTTTCCTTTTCAGTTAAGCAAGTTAAGGATAATTTTCGACCTATTGTCTCTTATTTATCAAACGACTTCAATGTAAAAAAAGGATTATAAAGTATTTAAAAGTTTTTCACCATTTGAACCTTACGTTATATGGCCTATTAATTAGCTCCAGCGAGTGTCCTGTAGCTCAGTGGTAGAGCGTCCGACCGGTGTGCAGAAGATTATAGGTTCGACTCCAGTTGGAAGAACTCGGAAATTTTTCCGAATAGCTTGTGTCACTGACTTTATAATATTTCTCTCGACAACTTTTAAGTTAGCAGCTTGACATTAAAAACAGCAAGATTAAGTAATATCTTTTTGTTATTAAGTGAAGATTACTTATGTAACAGTAAGTCGACTTGAAACTTGTAAATACATTTATTTAAAAACTGTTTTGTAAAACGTATTTCTACCGTTTTATTTAATTCCAGTCAATGTACATTTGAGAAACTTTGCAGAATGGTTTTAACCGTTCTTTGGACTCTTGCTTCACAATCATATCTGTAATTATTTTATAAACACCAGTTGTAATTATCTTAAATTAGGAAACAATAAAATGTACTAAAAAATGTTTGCTACAGCCGTTTTATTCAACTTTTCTCTTTATATAACACTTGTTCCTTTTCCCCATCCCATCCTGCACTTTCTCTCTTTTTTTTTTGACATGCACTGTTCTCCATGTCAGTTTGGCTCAGCAGTATTCATAAGCCACAGGCGCCAATTGAAACAAACCGCCATGTTTATTAACCCAAGTCAGAACCTGATTCTCAAGACATTCGGCTTTGCAAGTCATTAGGTATCGATTTGTATACTAGAAGTCTCTTTCTTGAAAGACTGACTTGGATCTATACCAGAGAAAACTGCACGAATCTGCCCGGTATTTGCATCATCTCAAAATACATTTGTGTGCCAACCGTTAATTAAACACTCCTAGAACACATTACGAGTTATTTCCTCTCTTAGTTTTCTCAAATTAATTTGGAGAATATTCCCATGTCGTGATCTAGAGCGTTTGTTGACTGTGTGCACAGGAACTTTCTGTCAATCATTTGCACGATGTTATCACGTGCGGTGCCCGGATGTTTTCCCTTCAGACACGTGATTTGTTTTATCATACGACTATTGTTAAGTCAGAGTGCTGAAGGAACCAATCGCAATTCATGTTCAAGGTCTAGGAAACAAACTTTAAGTTAGTATTTGCCTTTACTGCGAAAACCTCCTTTCCCTGCCGAGCGTAATAAAAGGGCCAAAAAGAGGTGGCCGTAAGTCGAGATTCCACTGTATCCGGAGTTTGCATGGGAGGAGTATGAGCCACAAAATGCGCAAAAAACAAACAACAGGAATTATTAAACCGGAGTGAAAATAAGGTGGCTAAGGTTAAAGTCTATTCCAATCCAATTGATCGGATGAACCAGGTGCGCTTATAATATTAACGCTTCTAGAGTCACCCTTTTAATTTTATATATTTCTTATTTGCATCACAATACAGTTCAGACGTAGACGCGAGGCAATTTCGAGCACAAGCTGCAAAAAAAATTCGCAAATATTAATCGACGCGAAAAATATATATTAGCATACAACAAATCTAGTGTAAAATAAAAGCGCTCGGGTTAAAGAAATTCTCCCTGATCCTGAAAACAAAGTACAGTACAGTGAATACCCTGCGATCAGGCGTGTTTGTTTGTTTGTTTGTTTGTTTGTTTGTTTGTTTGTTTGTTTGTTTGTTTGTTTGTTTGTTTTTTCGAGTGCAAAAGGCGACGGCGGCGAAAGAGAGGAAAGAGAGGCCGCCGCCGCCGCCTTTCGCATTCGAAAAAAAACCCACGCCTTATCACAGGTTATACAGTGAATTAATAATATTATATGTAAGGAGACTTCCATCTATGCTCGATCTCTGTGGCTCAGGATTCAGTTTAGCAAAATATGGCAAATGTTGAAGTTAAAATGCCACTTTGTCTGTCTTGTTTAACATCTCAAAAGTTTATATTTACAAACTTTTAATTAACAATATGTGGGCTAAGACCAAAATGAGAATATTTTGAGAAAAATTACGGCAGAGTGACATTTGTAAAGGGATGCAATTACAACATTTATCGAGGCTTCTAGAATCGCGCTATTATGTCTTAAATTTTATAATTGCATGGTGAATAAATTCAAGCCAAAACGATTATTCCGCTTCGAGTCAGTATAGAACATAAATAGGCCCGCGGGTACTTCGTCTTAACACTGAAATCAGATGAAACTGAAATAATTTGTGGGAGAAATAGCTAGATAAGAAACCACAAAAAGTCGGCAAACATGTCTTTGAACACAACGATGAATGGAACAGAGCCATCCAGCTGCAGCTACAATCCTACAGCAGAAAAAATCGGAAAAACTTTTGTTTGCTGTCTGATCCTTATTGTTTCGCTGGCGGGAAATTCCTTCATCGGAATAATTGTCTACAAGACGAAAACCATGAGAAAAACCACCAACTTTTTAATAGCAAACATGGCCATGTCCGATCTGCTGTTTCCAGTTTTCGTAATCCCGCTGATTCTAACAGAGTTGTACGTCGACTCCTGGTTGATCAGTGGTCCTCTTGGCGAGGCCTTATGTAAGCTGCTGTATCCCTACTTAACATATGTCTCCGCTGGTGTGTCTATTCAGAGCCTGGTGTTGATAGCAGTGGATCGATTTGGAGCCGTGGTAATATCCCCTCCGTTCCCCACTCATCAGTTCAAAGCTGTGTCCCTTCTTCATTCTCGCCACTTGGATCGCCGCGCTGGCTGTCTTTTCCCCATGTCTCTTCGCCAACAAACTGGTTGAATATCCAGAAGGGCTGGTGTGTGTGCGACAGTGGAATGAAGTCTTTGGAGAGTTCTCGTCCTATGAAAATTACCTGATAGCAATGGTGTTGATAGCCATATTGTACATCATCATCACCGTAAAGCTCAAATCACAGAAGACTCCAGGTGAGCAATCGGTCAACGCTGAACAACAACGCGCGAAAAGGGAACGAAATGTGCTGAAGATGTCCATTGCCATCGTGTTGGGATTTGCAGTATGCTGGCTTCCCTACAGTATCTACAGGATTCTGTTAATGTTTGGATCGGACATGATCATGTCTTGTGGCTTCTTTTACTTCATCATTGTTTCCAATTTTATGGCTTTCGCAAATTGTGCCATAAACCCTTGCATCTGTTTTATTTTCAGTGGAAATTATCGTCACGGTCTTAAGAATCTCCTTCGCTGCTTTAATACAGTACAGTCTCGTAATCAAGTCAAACCGTAGTATTCCTTTTCAAGGAGCCGGGTTCATTAAAGCAATCAACTAACATTTAGCCGGTGATTAACTAGTCAGTTTAATGGCTAAACACATGCAAGATGGCCAAAAAATCATCATGATTCGTGAATGATATTTTTAAGAAAATCGAGCCTAAAACGCGGAATATGATTTTGTACAAAAAGATCAGTCACAAAGTAAACTAGAAGGCGGTAAAGAGAAATCCTTGTTGGTGTTTCCTTTTCGGTTAAGTAAGTTAAGGATAATGTTCGATATTGTCTCTTATTTATCAAACGACTTCAATGTAAAAAAGAAAAGGATTATAATAACAAATTCAGTATAGGTTTGTCACCATTTGAACCTTAAGTTATATGGCCTATTAAAGCTCCCACGAGTCTCCTGTAGCTCAGTGGTAGAGCGTCCAACCACTTACTGTATAATCTCTTTCTCGACAAATTTTAAGTTAACAGCTTTACATTAAAAACAGCAAGATTAAGTAAGATCTTTTTCTTATTAAGTGAAGATTACTTATGTAAGTCGACCTACTATAACTTGTAAATACATTTATTTAAAAACAGTTTTGTTAAACGTGTTACTACCGTTTTATTTAATTCAATGCACATTTGAGAAACTTTGCAGAATGGTTTTAACCGTTCTTTGAACTCTAGCTTTACAATCATATCTGTAGTTATTTTATAAACTCCAGTTGTAATTATCTTAAATTAGGAAACCAATAAAATTTACAAAAATATGTTTGCTATACAGCCGTTTTTTTAAGCTTTAAGTTCCTTTTTCCCCATCCCATCCTGCACTTTATTTATTTTTTTCGACTCTTTTCTCCATGTTTGACTCAGCAATATTCATAAGCCACAGATGCAAACTTTATATCAAAACAAACCGCCATGTTTATTAACCCAAGTCAGAACCTGATTCTCAAGACATTCGGCCTTGCAAGTCGTTAGGTATCGATTTGTATACTAGAATTCGAAGTCTCTTTCTTGAAAGACTGACTTGGATCTATACGAGAGAAAACTGCACGAATCTGCCCAGTATTTGCATGATCTCAAAATACATTTGTGTGCCAACCGTTAATTAAACACTCCTAGAACACATTGCGAGTTATTTGCTCTCTTAGTTTTCTCAAATTAATTCGGAGAATATTTAGTTACCATGTCTCGATCTAAAGCGTTTGTTGACTGAGTGGGAAGCCTGCACAGGAAGCTTCTGTCCAATCATTTGCTCCATGTTATCACATGCGGTGCGCGGATGTTTTCCCTCAGACACGTACTTTCACTGCGATATTGCAACCTCGTCCAAAGCGCCCTGGGGACGAGTGCTGAAGGAAGAAATCACCATTCATGTTCAAGGTGTAGGGAACATACTTGAAGTATTTGCCTTAACTGGGAAAACCTCCCTTCCCTGCCGAGCGTAGCTCTGCTTCCCGACCCCGCAACACTGCTTGTCATACAGCGCGCTAAATTGTCCTCTTTTCGTTTTTCCTCCTGCGAAGAAACTAATTGTTAATAAAACGTTTTTTCGGAAATAAAAAAAAGAAACCTTCTCCCGTTTCATACTGTAGTGTAAGGTTCACGAAAGAGTTGTAGTTGATAAGCTAATTAAGGTCATACGGGATCTAGGAAGTTATTCAGCAGACACAAGATAAAATAAGGTATTAGTTTTTAAAACCAACCTGTTGTTCGTTATTGTTTAGAGCGATTTTCAATGGAGTATCGAAAGTAATCCGAAATTGGTTTTGCTTTACTACGTTCTGTGATTGGTTTAAAAAAACTCGCGCCACCTACTCAACCAATCATGGTTTTGGTTTTGGTTTTGGTTTTACGACACTCAAATGAAAACTGCTCTATACAAGTTATAGCTAGCGAAATAAATTAGAGATGGTAATATGAGGTTTCGAAGCTATACTGACACTTAATATCAGTAGTAATA